TTTTTTTTTTTTTTTTTTTTGGTACTGGGGATTGAACTCAGGTCCTTGTGCTTGCGAGGCAGGCGCTGAAACCACTGAACTAAATCCCCAGCCCCATATACATCTTGATAAAACTTATCTTGGGAGGCAGATGACATTCTCTTCATAGTATAAACTGTAAATCTGAGGTTTATAGCGATCAGGGAATTTGTCTTTGATCACAGCGGAGAAATGGCAAGAGTCTGGCTTCAAATCCATGACTCCAGGCCAGTGTTCTTCACCAGTAGGCAAGGCCGCCCCTCCCTGCTGCCTTTCCCCACTCTGTGACGTCCCCAGTGTAGTCTGAGCAGGCTGGGGTATGCCTCCTTCAGACTCGGCAGCTGGTGAAGGACGGCTTCCTGGTGGAAATGTCAGAGAGCTCCCGGAAGCTGCGGCATGTCTTCCTCTTCACAGATGTCCTACTGTGCGCCAAGCTGAAGAAGACCTCCGCCGGGTGAGTATGGAGGAGAGTTCAGGGTCACTGTGGGAGGAACCAGAGCCTACCTTTTATGGAGCCTTCCACAACCTGGGGGAACCTGTATTTCTCTCCTTTATAAAAATACATCAATTCGTTTTAAATTACTACATAATAGTTTTTACCTAAAAACAAATCATGGTTTTAATTATAAAAATAATAGGACATTACAGGAAAAACTATAACCCATCCAAACATAAGTATCAGTTTATTTTATTTATTTTATTTTTTGGTACTTGGGATCAAACTCAGGTCCTTACGCTTGCAAGTCAGGCAGCGAAGCATCAGTTTTTTGTGGCTGTATTTCCTTACCATTTTAGTTTTTTCATATAATTGTAATCAGAGTGAATGCCCAATTTTGGGCTCTGCTTTCTCTATTTTACGTCATAAGCATTCTCCCTATTGCTGCCTAATCGTCATAAACATTTTACTTTCCTGCATGAGGTTACAAGTGGATATGCCATAATTTACTTAAGCTTTCTCCTTTTATTAGACATTTCTAAATTTTTGCTAACTGCAATTCTGTGAATATTCATTAAATCTGCCACCATTTATTGAGGGTTTATGCCATGCCAGGTGCCGTGACAAATGCTTTGAGTACATCACTTCCAATCTTCCCAACAGCTCCACAAAGTGGCTGTTATTATCCCCAGCTCACTGATGAGTGAAAAGTCTTAGAGATGATAAATAAATTGCCCAAGGTCACACAGCTAGAAATGGAGGAGATGGGATTTAAACCTTAACCTAACTTGAAAGCTCCTTTCTATTGCTGTCTCAGTAGTGTGGATCTGCTCTGTGCCATAAACAGAAAAAATTATTTAATATTTATTCACATGTTCTACTTCTTTCACCCTATCACCTCCTGTGTACCATGTACACTGTCGTATAAGATAGGAGGAGAAAAGCTTTACACTTGCTGCAATGCTAAGGGACCAAATAGGAGGTGTAGATCTTAAGTTCTAGAGGAAATCACAGACAGAGAGGTCATTATGAGCTTCAATAAAGGTCATGATTCCCTGGAACTAGATTGGATTTGAGATAGTTCTGAAGCAAAGATAGCAATAAAAGTGTAGGTGTCTCTGCCTTCAGTCCTCCCTGTGCCAGACATTACTAATCAACCATTAATCCTCAGCCAAGTCCTGGGTAACCCTTACTGATGAGAGCTGGCATTTAGACTAAAATCTGTATCCCTTCTCTATCCTAAAGGATAATGAATATGAACGAATCTAAGTATGGATAGAATGAAGAGAAAGGTGTCTGATAGGGAATAGGATAGTGTGAGCCCAACCAAGGTTTCATTCTCCTTGATACATAGGTGATTTGAGATATTTAAAAATCCCAGTACTGCTGGGAAGACTGACACAGTGAAGGACCTCCCTGCTGGCTGACCTAGAATCCAACTCTCATTACTGTATGTGCGTGTTTACTGATCAAGCTTTTTAAGGGCAGGGACTGTTCTTGCCTTTGATAAGTTTTCAGGAAGTCGCTCTTGGGTGGCTTTTGGGTTCTGTACCCAGCAGATCTGGGTTGAAGAGCCAGCTGCCCTCTGACTCATGTCTCCCTCGCTGTTTGCAGGAAGCACCAGCAGTATGACTGTAAGTGGTACATCCCCCTGGCCGACTTAGTGTTTCCATCCCCTGAGGAGTCTGAAGCCAGCCCCCAGGTGCACCTCTTCCCAGACCATGAGCTGGAGGACATGAAAATGAAGATCTCTGCCCTCAAGAGTGAAATCCAGAAGGAGGTAAGGAGAACTTAACCGATGAGCCTAGGACCATTTTCCATGGGTGTCTTTGACCAGGTGTGCTGAGAAAGGTGGAGGGAGGGGAAGTTGTAAGGTTTCAGGTCTGATGGGTAGGGGAAGTAGGACAAGAGTAGGAGCCCTGGGATGTATGAGTACTTTAAGAGGAAGCCTCTGACTGAGGCAGGTTTGGGAATGCCAAAGAGTGGCAGCTCAGAATTTAGTGGGCTTTAATTATGGAAAGTTTCCTGCAGAACAGGATATGTGGAGCACTGTACAAAAGGAAGCAGGAGAGGAAGAGCAAGAAGGCCTGTTTAAGAAAAAGTGGGATAGTAGCTGCGCGTGGTGGTGCACGCCTGTAATCCCAGCACTCGGGAGGCTGAGGCAGGAGGATCACTGTGAGTTCGAGACCAGCCTGGGCTACAGCGTGAGTTCCAGGTCAGTCTCAACTACATAGTGAGACCCTGTCTCAAAAAACCAAAAAAAAAGAAAGAAAGAGAAAGTGAGACATATTCAAGAGAGAAGACTGGGGGACCTCTCAGAAACTGACATGAAATGAACAAGGAGAAAGGGGACCTGAACACCATAGTTAACATGCTTGATCTAAAAGTGCATAGAAGTTTGTGCTTCAGAATTGAGATTCTAGTCCCACATGTAGTACAGTCCCAAATCCACGAAGGAAATCAGTCAATCTCAGTATCTCTTTCTCCCCACCGCCACTTCCCTCCCTCTCTCTGTTGTGGTGGTGGTGGTGGGAGTGACGGGAATTGAACCCAGGGCCTACGGCATCCTAGGCAGATGCTCTATCACTAAGCTGCATCCCAGCCTGAAATCTCAAAATTAAAAAAAAAAAAAAAAAAATCGATGCCATACAGGTATGTGCACAGGCCATACTGTGGGAAAATTAGAAATCAACAACTGGAATATTAATTACATGACTGTAAAGTTAAAACTTTTAAAGAAGAAATCAAAAAAGAAACTGTGATCTGTTTAGAATTACATGGAAATGAAAGTACTACGTACCAAAACCCATGAGATACACCCAAAGCACCATTTAAATTCATATATTCAAAACCAGTGGCTGGAGGAAAGCGTCCTTGGAGGAGCCTTTTCAGTGAACAGAAGGAAGGGTATGGGGTGGTCTGGTCGGCCTGGATTCTTTTCCTCACCCCTCTGGGTTTAGTTAGATCTCCCCTCCCCTGGGAAGCCCTCTCTGATTGATATCCACCACAGTCTGGGTTAGGTGTCTAATGTTCGCCTTTGGCGCTGCTTTAATGGTGCTAGTTATCATTGCTTGGTCAGATTTTTATTTTCCCCACTAGAATTGAACTCCTACTTTAGCACTTGGTCAGTAGGTGCTTAATATACAACCGTTGGGCTGGGGATTTAGCTCAGTGGAGCTGCCACCTGCCTCATAAGTGCAAGGTCCCGAGTTTGATCCCCAGTGCCAAAAAAACCAAATACTATTGAGAAATCTATGACCAGGTGCCTGCTCTTTGAACAAGGGAAAAGATCACAGGTATAGGAGTTTTTGGGGCAGGGGGAGTATCCTGGTACTGAAAGTATGACTGGGGGGTGCTTCTGCCTAGAGGGAGCTCCCTGACCAGCACAGCTGTCCTCTCCTGAAGGCCGGCCCAGCCTGCTTCCATTGAGCCTGCTGTCCATCTGGCATGGCATTGTCTGTACATCAGGGGCCTCTGGCCTGCATGTCTCTCACCCGGCCCCATACTGTCTCTCCTGCCCACGTGTACAGACAGGACTTTCCGCTCAGTCAGGTTGGCACTTACTGAGCCCCACTACCTTGCAAGGAGTGTGTCAGACACCTTACAGATCTCCCTGTCCAGTGGAGAAGGCAGGGACAGAGCATGACTCACATGACAAGAGTAACTGGACAGGCAGAGGTGCCATCCCAAGTCACAGAAGAAGCAGAGATATATTTTTTTCTCTCTCCCCCCTCCCCTCCCTCTCTCCACTAGAGATAGAACCCAGGGCCTTATATGTGCTAGGCAAGCAGGACTGTACTGCTAAGCTATGCTCCCACACTGCTATTCCTTTAATAATAGTTTTTAAAGCTTTAATTTCTGTAATAATGTAATACTGACTTGTAACAAGAAATGCTCATAATACTGAAGTGAATAGAGTGAAACTGGTTATTACCACCTCCCGTTATTTAACAGTTTGAGGTGCGTTCTTTCTATACTTATACTGGGATGTGTGTGTGTGATTATTATTATTTTTTTTCTTTTTTCTTTTGGTGCCAGGGATCAAACTTGGGCCCTTGTGCTTGCAAAACAGGCTGTGGAACCACTGAGCTAAATCCCTGGCCCAATTATTTTTTTCTTAAATGAAACAAGACCACATATATAGTTTTGCAGCTTTTTAAGCCTTTCATCTACCTGTACCTTAGGACTCTTTGGATTTAATCAGACTCCTCTTAGCAGCAGCATTGTACACTGTTACTTGACTATGCAGCAGTGCATCTGGTATTGATTATTTCCAATTCTCTCTCTCTCTTTTTTTTTGGCGGGGGGTCCTGGGGATTGAACTCGGGATCTTGCACTTGCAAGGCAGGGGGTGGAACCACTGAGCTAAATTCCCAGCCCTGATTTCTGATTGTTAACCCTTGGGTTGTTCAGTAGTACCTGTCACTGCCTGCATTTCCTTTGGAGATTTCCCTACAAGTGCTGTGGCTGGGGCAGGTGGCATGAGCTCTTAACTGGCAGATTTACCCCTGAAGAAGCTGTGTCTGGTGATGGTCCCTAGCAGTGTGTGAGAGCCCTGCTCTCCCCACCGTCACAACACTGGCTGTGAGCAGTCATTACGATTTTGCCAGATTGGTGGACTTAAAAAAAATAGATTAATTAGATTAATTCTGAGGAGTCTGAGAACTGCAGCTGGACTGAGACAGTATCAGTTATTACAAGGGAGGAGATCCTGGAAGAAATACAGTGGTGCCTTGGTTCACAAACACTTTCGTTTGCAAACAGTTTGGTTCACAAGCAGAAGTGTTTGGCAAAATTTTATTTTTGTTTGTGAATTCTACATCAGGTGTTGTACATGACCATAGCCACCTTTCCTGCACAAAGATGAATGTGACCGTCTTTTCCAGAATCATGGAATAAATTAAGTCCACAAACCAAGGCACCACTATAAATAGGAAGTTGTCAGATTGGAGAAGGCTGAGGGGGCTCAGAAAGGTTGGCTCTCTGGAGACTGAGACTGAGGCAGGATAAGGTGTGTGGGTCTGGAATCCAACCAAGGGAGGCTCTGCGGCCAGGCTGGCAGCTGGGGTTTATGCTGAAAGGTCTGAGGTTTTTCAAGGCTACCTCCACTCTACCCAGGATTTACTTCACAGAGGTGACCCAGTGATGATGCGGACAAGCTAATGCCATGGAAAGATTTTTATTATTTACAGTTCCTGAGAGAAGGGGCCCACTGCGCCTCATCGGGCCACAGAGGGAGACTGGGGCTGGAGGAAGGGGAAAGCATGGGTCACAGAATTCCTAGGGTTTCTGTGGGAGAAGCGAGGCAGGGCAAGAGGAACAGCTCAGGAGTGTCGGGTTCAAATAATGTCGGGCTCTGGACATCGGGGCGGTCTCTAGTCGTCTGCTCCCCAGCCCTGGGCAATTTAGGGCAGATGACAGGCTGGCCTGGTGAATGGGAGCCAGATAAGGGATGGCAGGGGATTTGAGCTGGGGATTAGTTGATTTGCATATGAAAGGTGTGCTTAAGTCTTCTTGCCCAGCTAGGTTTCCCCAAGATGTCAAAATATCCTAAATTATAAAAAACCATGAATGACACACAGGGAGGTGTTGTGCTTTGAGCTGCTGAGTGAGTGGTGGAGGTCTGATTGTGAGAGAAACCATCTGTGCTTTTTCCCCCACAGAAAGCCAACAAAGGGCAGAGCCGGGCCATTGAGCGCCTCAAAAAGAAGATGTTTGAGAATGAGTTTTTGCTGCTACTCAATTCCCCCACAATCCCATTTCGGATCCACAATCGGAATGGAAAGGTCAGGAAGGGTAGGAATAGAACAGACACTGCCCCTTTCCTTAGACCAGGGCTGCCCACTCACTATGGCTTGTGGCCCTAACCTGGGGGAAGCTGAGACTTGGGCCTTCACTTCCCAAAGAGGCTGCTGTGGTTCCAGCCCTAAATTCTCTCCCTGCTGCTGTGAAACAAGTATCCCTGCTGGTTATCACTGGCACTGGCACTTGTTACCTGGTTTCTCAGAAAGGGGGCCCCCCTACTCCCAGCTGCCTCCAAGCTCAGGGCTGTCTGGGTGAGGAAGCTCAGGGGCCGGGGGTGTCTGGGTAAGGAAAGTTTTGTTGGGGACCCCATAGTCTGGGAATATGCTTGGTCTAACCATGGTCACCCCACTGAATTCTTATCTCCTCTCTTTAGAGCTACCTGTTCTTATTGTCCTCGGACTATGAGAGGTCAGAGTGGAGAGAAGCAATTCAGAAACTACAGAAGAAGGGTAAAGTCCTGCCCTGTTCTAAGCTGGTCTGAGGATGTCCCATGGCAATGCTGGGCTTTGGCATGTGGGAACATTTTCGTGTCTAGGATCTCTTCTTGAGCCCTCATAGCCACCACCTAAGCTGCCAGAAGTGTCACTTAATTGATGTTCCTGGTCAGTCGAGGTCCAGCAAGTCTAAGTGATTTGCTTATTGCATAATATGAGCTAGTGAAAGCACTGGACCCAGCGCACAGGCTGTGTGTCATCCTCCCTCGCTCTTGCTTTTGCTGTCCCCAAAACACGTACATGAACCTCTTCGCTTAGATTCTCTTATTCCACTAACAGCAGCTATGGCTGTGCCCATAGGACTGTTACAAGGCATGGCCCCATTCTAAGGACCAGCCCTGGCCATAGAACTAAGCTGTGTTCCTGCTCAGACCCCAGGGATGAGCTGTGCTAATGCTCCCTTCCTCTCTCGGCTCCTCTTCCAGATCTCCAGGCCTTTGTTCTGAGCTCAGTGGAGCTCCAGGTGCTCACGGGGTCCTGTTTCAAGCTTAGGACTGTACACAACATTCCTGTCACCAGCAATAAAGATGGTAAGATCTGGAGCCCAAGGTTGTCCAGTCTGCAGGTCCAAAAGCCCAGAGAGCACTGTTGGGACTATTTGTAAGCGCCTGGTGAGACATGTGGCTGCCAGTGGCTGATCTCTGCCCAGCGAGGCTAGGACTGTTTTACTGCCAGGTACAGAGAGATCTTATTCTGTTGAGTACCTTGGTGGCCCCAGGTCCTCCTCAGTCTCCCTGGCTTGAGTGACAGAAGTACTCTGTGAGAGGGGTTTTAAAGCTGAGCTTTCCTTGGCTTATTAGGGTCATCTTGAGCAGTGCATAGAGCTAAGCCTTCCCTTTTCCTTTCCTTTCTTTTTTTGTTTTTGGTGCTGGGGATCGAACTCGGGACCTTGTGCTTGTGAGGCAGTAAGCCTTCTCTTTTCTATTAGTATGGAAAGACTCAGGTTAGTTTTCACTTTGGAAGGTACCCCTGGGGAAGGTACCAAATGTCGGGCCCAGGACTTGGTGTGTACTGGTCTCCCAAGCTGAGCAGAGGGAGGAAGGTCCTCAGCCCTCCATCCAGCTCACCCTAGAGGAAGCAGGGGGTTTTGGAGATTTTCTAAGCGAGCCACCAGGTGGTGCTATTGGACCGAGGCACAGGCTTCCTTCCTCCTCCCACCTTCTGGTAGAAAGAGGTGGAGCTGCTCACCACCTCCTACTCTGATGATGACTTTCCTCTCTTGCAGACGACGAATCTCCAGGACTCTATGGCTTCCTCCATGTCATCGTCCACTCGGCCAAGGGGTTTAAACAATCAGCCAGTAAGTGCTCCTGACTTCTAGTCCAAGGAGGAAGTTGGTGGGCCATTGTTGATTCACAACGTCCCTATGAACCCATTGTCACACTGCCCTCCTGCTCTGCTCTACACAGAATAGGCCCTGCCAGCATGCTTTGAATCGTGGAATAGTCCCTCAAAGGCTAGAAAGCAACTGTTCTTGGCAGGAAATCATCCCTGCCCTTTGGCTGAAAGTTCTACTTTTCCCCAAACCTTCCTTCCCTGAAACCCTGGAGCAGCAAACACGCGGACTCCAGTCCCATATCTGCCAGTTACAAGCTGTATGCCCTTGGGCGAGTTTCTGAACCTCTCTGAACCTCAGCTTTCTTCTCTAGAAAAGGCAATTATGCTTGTTAACATGGACCTGAGAGTGAATCTGAATATAACTCTGTGCAGTGCCAACACACATCCTTCCCCTCCTTTCTTTATCATCTATATCTGTAGATGAACAGTAGTACAGATTTTAGCAGCACCGTGTCTGTTTTTAGCATTTTCCTTCTTTTTGAGACAGGTTCTCACTAAGCAGTTCAGGTTGGCCTTCAACTCACTCTGTAACCTAAGCTGGCCTCAAACTTACAGAGATTCTCCTGCTTCAGCCTCCCAAGTGCTGGAATTATAGGTGTGCAGCACCATGCCCAGCTTGTTTTTAGCATTTCATAAAATACAATTTCGCTTTCTTTTTTTTTTAAGATGTGGTACTAGGGATTGAACCCAGGGCCTTGCAGTGTACCACGAGCTCCTTCCTCAGACCTATTTACACTTCATCTACTTTATATTCAGTAAGAGTGTGAGTCAGCTAAATAGCTTATAGTTTCTATCCATTCGCTAGGTGAGGAAACTGAGTCACCGAGCGGTGGAAGGACTAAACATAACATAGGATCAGAAACCCAGGGTTTCTTACTCCTCTCAGCCTGTCCCTTCCCACTCTTTTCTCTTGGTCTCTGACTGGCGATATCTGCCTTCATCTATCTTCCTGTAGGCATCTCGCAAAAGTTATATGATTGGCCTGCAAATGGTCACTCAGTAAGTGTTACTGGGGCACCTCCCTGGGCTCCTGAGGCAAACTGGCCTCTCCCTCTGTGTCTCCATCAGTCTCAGGGTGAACCCTAGTAACAGCACCTGGCGGTGCTGTGCTGTCACTTATAACTTGCCTCTCCCACTGTGAGTTCTTTGAATGTAGGAGTGCGGTCTCCTTTATCCTCAGATGACTAAGAGCTCAGAAATGCTGACTAACGCCGCTGTTGAGAGCAGCATGCCTACTGTGTACCTGGAGAAAGCGAGAACATGGCCAGTGCACGGACAGTGCCTTCTTGGCCCATTCAATTTCCAGGCTCATTATCTTCCTCAGTCACCTGGCACCCTTCTGCAGTCAATGATGGTGTCCTCACTTTACACGTCGGAAAGCTGGGGCTCCGAGAGCTTAAGGATCACGCGGGTGGTGCAGTAGAATCCATGCCTTCTGGCACCAGAACCCAGACTCTTTCTTAGAGCATTTCTAAAGGGGACATTTGGAAGGTCACATACATTGTCCGCCTTCCTCCCGAGGCCCTCACGACCACCCACACCCCCGGCCCCATTCCCGGTCCTCTCAGGCCTCACTTGGTGTATCTCATTTGTCCTTACCTCTGCAGACCTGTACTGTACCCTGGAGGTGGATTCCTTTGGCTATTTTGTCAGCAAAGCCAAAACCAGGGTGTTTCGGGACACAACGGAGCCCAAGTGGGATGAGGTGAGTGGAGGGGGCTGGTATCCCCACAAACACTCCAGCTGTCGCCGGGCATGCCCGTCTTGTCCTCCTTCCTTTGCTCTTGATTTAACTATTGTTTGGACCAGCTCCATCTCCCCAACGTTATATCTTCCACTCCCTGTCCGTTGGATTCCAGACACGTGTTTGTGTCAGTGGGTATCAAACACTGGAGTTTCAGCTCAGACTTCTAAGCCTCACCACATCAGTGATCTGGAGGCCTCTGGGAACTCCATAAAGTGAGGATGCTCCTCCAGGTCTGGTGATGTGTTCCTCATGGCCCCTGCTGACCCCTGGACTTGCAGTCTGAGTCCGTACCTGCTGGGTCCTGGCTTTAGAGGTTCCAGACTTTTTGTCCTGTCTTTCTCCAGGAATTTGAGATTGAGCTGGAAGGCTCTCAGTCCCTGAGGATCCTGTGCTATGAGAAGTGCTATGACAAGACCAAGGTCAACAAGGACAACAATGAGATCGTGGACAAGATCATGGGCAAAGGGCAGATCCAGGTGAGGGGCCGGGGCACCTGGCCGGGCTCGGGGAGCACCAGATTGTCTGGCACCAGTGGAGGAGTCCTTCTCACTTATCTTCTTGGTTTGTGCGCGCTTGGCTTTTTCTAACTTTGGTTCAAAACTGGTTTGAAAAACATTCCCTGAGGTGGTGATTCATGCCTGCTGGCGATGGCTTCTCACTGTAACCCCAGAAGCCTATGGGTGCCTGGTTCCTCAGGCCTCCTCTCCTGGCTCAGGTGGGCCACCTATATTTCTGCAAGATGGACTCGAGAGATGTCAACTGCCTTTGTTTTCATGCTGCATTTCCAGTCTGTTGGTGGCTTTTTCCTGGAACACTGTTGAGAAGTATTCTGAGGCTGTGTCCTGAGCAGGAGGGAAGAGTGCTATGTTTAATAAGTGCTGTCTGCATGGGCATGGGTTAGGAGTGAGGCATCGCTGCAGGCATTTGCTGTTCTATGAGGAGGGCTTTGGAGCTGGTTGGATTGCTGGGGCTGGCTCTGACTTGTCACTAGAGTTGCTAGACTGTCCTTACCTGTAATGGGAGTCACTGGCTTAGTGTGGGTCCTCTGGCTGTCAGCAGGCTTAGTGTATATGCCTCAGCTGAGCTTCTTGATGCCCTGTAAATATGTGAAAGAGAGGAGCCCTTCCTCTCAGCTTGCATCTGTGGAACATTCTCTCTCTGTTGAAAATGCCTGCTATGCACTTACCTGTCAGGAGAACTAGGCTTCAGCATGGAGCCATATGCCCTCCTATCTGACCTCATGTGTGGTCTCATACTTTTGAAATAAGTGAGGGTAGATTGTGCAACAGTGATATCAAAGGAGACAGATATATCCTGGCATTGGACATGAGGTGCTCTTGCTTCCTAATGATTTTTCCAAAAATTTTTCCAATTTTTCACCAGACTGTGAGGGCACCATCCAGAACAGGGAGCTGTACTGTGCTTCCCCCCACCTCACCCCTTACCAGGGATCAAACTCAGGACCTTTCACTTGCAAGGCAGGCGCAGCACCACTCAGCTAAATCCCTTGCCCTGTACTGTGTTTTTTTGCAAGAAGTGTTTGTTCTGTGTTGAATCCTGAAGCTGTGGTTTGGTATCAGGACCTTGACTGGCTATTCTTGGAACACTGGGAGCTGTGTGGGTCTCCTGTTCCACTATACCTGTCTCAGGCTGCAGCATCTGAACAGAGGTGATGGCACCATTCACTAGAGGCCCAGCCATCTGCCTCATGCTGCCCAAGTTCCTGAGCACCTAGCTTCCTGAGGCTGTGACACCTGTGCCCCATTCCTCAGAACTGTCACCAGGGAGACAGTGCTGCTAGGCAACCGCGAGCCAGTCCTTCATTATTTAGGAAATGGGGATGATGAGAAAACACTCTCTAAATCCAGTCTCTGGAACCTATCTCTGCAGGGATAAGCAGTGAGAGTCCCATCTCCACATTCCTGGGCTGGGCCAGATGGACAGGTAGGGAAGGGATTCTCAGCCAGACTGCCCAGTCAAGAGACAAGTGGCTGCCACACTTTCTGAGCCATGGGAGACTGAGGAGTGGAGGGGTGAAAAGAGGCGCCCAGAACAGCTAGCTCGGTGGTAACCATGGCTTTCTAGAACTCAGACTCTGCGGCTGGAAGGCGGCATTCTCCACCTGGACTTAAGCCCTGTTGCTTGCCTCCCTCGCTCAGCTGCACAAGCCCAGGGGAAGCACACCATAAATCATTGCATCCTGGAGACAGGAGCAGATGGAGGCAGTGGGGGAAGGGGAGGCAGCCAGGTTATGTTTGGCAGAGCAGAAAGCACAGTCTGCTAAGGAAAATGTTTCTGTGTTTAAGCTTCGAGGAATGTTAAATGCTTGGGAGTTGATATTAAAAGAAACACAAACCTTTCTGCTGCCAGCTGACCTGGGCCAGTGAGCGGGCAGTTCAGAGGCCTTTGAAGTCCTCCTGTACTCAGCCTCTGAGCATAGCTCTTGGCCCCCAGCCATGGAACCATCTCAGCAGCCGCCTATGGATTGAGGAGGTGTACCCCCTAGGGGTGTGCTGTGGCTCATCAAGTCTCACGCTGTGAACACCCCAGGAGCCGCCGAGGATGGCCAGACTGAATAGACAGCCTGCGCTGAGTTGTCCCCAAGTGGTCAGGCCACACAGAGCTATAGAACAGCCTGTTCCCACAGTTTGTCCCACCTCCCTTCCTGCCATGTGTCCAAGGAAGGGAACTGGTACAAGCCCTGAATCTCAGGCCTGCTCCTTTTCAGCAGGCACTGAGGATGGCACCAAAGGTGACCTGAGGGTAAGGGCTGGGCCCTCAGGGATGTTCAGGTTGCCTGAAGGAGAGGCTGGCCGCTCCCATTCTGCCCAGCCTATGAACACAGTAAGGGAGCCCGCCGCCTAAGGTCCAGGTGTTTGCTCCTCTGATGCCCCCCACAAGGTTTGCCGGAGGTGGTGGTGGGGGAAGGGAATCTGGAGCATGGGGCAGGGGAGGGGCAGCATTTAGTGATATAAATGGCAGCACTAATCACCAAGATGTGTTTCTGGCATTTGTTCCAAATGTCTCATGTGATTCTTGCAACACCTCTGCAAAGAAAATGATCATCGTGTCCTTCCCATTTCACAGATGAGACACTGAGGCACCAAGGTTAAGAACCTTGGCCAAGGTGCCTCTGCTGACAGTGTTCAGGGAAGGCCAGGCTGTCTCCTCCGTGCAGTGTCCCCATATCCCAATCTTTGATCAGAAAGTCTCCCAACCTAGGTAAGGGGCCTGCACAGGAGCTGAAGTGAAGTTCTCCCTAAGATCCTGTTTTTATGGCATAAAATGAGCATACAGCTGCCTTTGCCGGGGTCTTATCACCTTTGGGCAGGTGACATTTCTTCCTGGTGCACCTGGAAGGAAGTAGAATGCCTTGGGAAAGAGCAGGAAGAAGTGGGGCTTGCTGTGCATCTGTGGGGTACACTGAGAGGTGTGTGTCCTGGCCTGGAAGAACCTGCTGTCGGGTTGGAAAAATAAGTGCACTGATATACGCCAAGCTACTGGAGAGCCACACAAGATGCCAGTGCCACTAAAGATAACGCTGGCGTTTATGAAGAGCCCAGCACAGAGCTAAATAAATGTCTGTATCTGTGATCTCAGGGGGGCTTCATCCAGGACAGGAGCCTTATCATGGTTACAAGGATGACAAAGCTGAGGCAAAAGCGTTAAGTGGCCTGTCCACGGCTAGGTGGCTGGGGGTGAAGGAGGGAGGACTCGAACCAGGGCTAGCAGCTGGCCCCCACTGCTCTGTGAGGAATAGGAAGGAGGCTTGTGCCGCAGGAATTTAGAGGGAAAGGTCACGGTGGGATGGCGGTAGGGAGGCTTTTCAAGGAAGAGATGGAGCCAGGGGGATTTGAGAGCACTAGATGTTTTAATTCCAAAGGCAGTGTTTACACTACAAAGAGAATTGCAATGTAGTAAAGAGACTTGAAACACACACCATCCCACTCCCTCTCTTCTGGAACAGCCATTTTATTTTGTGCCGTTTTTCTTCCTCTGGTTATATATTTTTATATAGGTTTAATCACATCATTTTGTGTTTTTTTATTTTCATGGAATATCATCCTAAACCCCCTCATTTCTAGGTTGGCATATATAGTCTTTAGATGTACCTTTTTTGGTATATTCTCCACAGTGCTTTATATCCTTTATTAAGTTTATATCGGTCCTTCTATATAATGGCCCTCACAGTCATTTCTTGTTATTCTAGCAAGGTGGGCAGGCTCTGGGTCAGCCAAGGAGTGGGCTGGATTGGGTTGGTGGGTGATCTGCATGGCAAAGGCAGGGAGGCAGGTATGTTCAAGAAGTGGCCCGGGAGAGGAAGGAAGGAAGGAACCCTAGGGGGGAGGGCTGTGAGCAATGCAGCTGGGAGGGAAGGTGAAGGAATGAATAAAAGAAGAGTCTCAGGGTTTGAGGCCGGAAAGAATGCAGTCCAGTCTTTTGAGGGAAAGGAAACGGAGAGTAGAAAGAGTGAGTGACTTGGCTAGCGACAAGGCTCATTAGTGGCTATGCAAGGGATCCAACTCGGGGAACCTCCACCCAGAGTTGGTCAGCTGGTCGGCTGCAGGGCAGATGAGTTAATAGAAATGTCTTTCGAGGGTTGGGGATTTAGCTCAGTGGTTCTGCCACCTGCCTCAAAGGTGCAAGGTCCTGAGTTCAATCCCCAGTGCCCACAAAAAAAAAAAAAGAAAAAGAAAAAGAAAGAAAAGAAAGTGGATTTAGCTCAGTGGTTCTGCCACCTGCCTCAAAGGTGCAAGGTCCTGAGTTCAATCCCCAGTGCCCACAAAAAAAAAAAAAGAAAAAGAAAAAGAAAAAGAAAAGAAAGAAATGTTCTTTCAGGGATAGAGACAGGTTTGAATGTCAGCATGGTACTTGGTGTGTGTGTGTGTGTGTGTTGCAGGGGTAGGGGGAGTGTCTCCCTTTCATCCCTGCAAATTTAGTGAAAGACCTCGCAGTTTCAGCCATTCCGTCTTCAGGAGCAGGAGGCCTCCCTGCTAAAACCAGAGGGTCGTTACCTGTAGGTTCTCAGTCCAGGCCACCCGCCATTCATCTCAGCTTTCCGTCAAGCCAGGAACTCAGAGAGGAGCACCCCCTCCCCCTGTCTGTTTTGACTCCCTGTTCCCAGGGGACTTCTGTATATTTATCCTAGTCTATTTCCAACCATGCTGCTCTAGGTTCCAGATGTGCTGTCCCCAACTGGGATCTACTGGCTGGCTGATTAGCATATTCCCAGAGTCCAACCCTTCTTGACTCATGGGACTGGAGAGAGCTCTCCCTTAGGGCCTCTACAGCTCCATTCCTTCCCTTGACCTTAGACTGGAGAGAGATCTGAGACTAAAGAGCTACCTAGGCCAGAGGAGCTGCTCTGTGCCCTTACCTGTCTCCTCCTCTGCTCCCCCATCCTTCAGCTCAGCCACAAGTTTGGGGACAGTTCCCTCTACCTCCATTCTCCCACAAGCACCGCAGGTAGTTGAAC